TACATTCTTAAATTTTTCGAATAAAGTCTCTTTACCTCAAAAACATTTCCTCATGCAAATCAATAACTATGTGTTTGCTACGTAAAACAATTCCTTAATTTCTCAAATACAATTTCATAAAATCAAGTTTCCCTCTTAATCAATACAGTTTCTCTCTTAATCAGCGTTTGTTAAAGCCTGAACGAAACTCTGGGATTCAGCTGATTGAAATAGTTTTTAGAGCAGTAGCTATAATGAAACAAGACTGCTCGTATCAGGGCAAAGCCCTGAAAGTTCCGACTGCCTTTTAAGGTCTATGGAGCATTAATAAGATGAAAAATTTCAATGTAATAAAATAAAAATAAATTTTTTTTAAAAAAAAAATTTGAGATTTTATGTAAAAACATCCCCCACACGTCATATTTAGTACAAAGTGATAGATTTTGCGCCTATTAACAAATCAATTATGGCAAATAAGCTTCTTTCAACCAATTTGGAACAATTTATAAGACGGATTAAATCTCGCTTACGCGTTAATAGCGCGAAATTTATCGCGCGTTAATTGTCCCAAATTGGCCAAAATGGCAATCTTTAAACCCCCATAACTTTACAAAAAATCATCACAGGTAAAATATCTTTTCAAATTCAAGCTCAGGACAACAATAGCTTTCGAATGATATAAAAAAAAATCCGTCAAAAATGGCAAGTTAAAGAGTCGAAATTTGTCTGAAGAAAAAAAAAACCCATCCCGAGCACAAATATTCCGTTACTTTCGTATCGAAAGTCGGAACAATAAAACTCAAATATGAATGACTAAAGATTATCTTCTGAGAAATCAGGACACTATGATACATGCATACGCATATAAAATCCAGAAGAGAAGTAATTACATTCTAACTTCATTGAAAAAAGACACTTTAACTTTACCTCAGTAAAAACCAATAGCTCGAATTAAACTAATAAATAGTATGAACTTAATACACGCGTTTCATCTTGCAGCTGTTTCTGAGAAAACAAAAGGTGAGTCAACACTCTCTGTTTCAATCATATTCGTAATAAGCTTTATGCACATTTTTTACATGAAATTGAATTTAAATGACTCTTAATTTTCTATTTGAATATGGGTTTTTCAAAAAAAAATAATCGTTTTTCAAATTAAAGATTATAGGGATCTACTTAACAATTATCCCCCTTTTAAGAAAGGGGGGGGCAATTGTTAAGTAGATTAATATAACGCATTTTCGACCAATCATATCGCAGCAAAATTAGAAGTCTCAATACAAAGCTCTAGCGCTAATTTACTGCTTTTATTAATTGGGGTGGCAATTCTTAAGTAGTTACCAAAAGGAAGGCAATTGTTAAGTAGATCCGATTATAGTGGAAGATGCCCATGTATTTTTCAAATGTTTTCATGCAACACATATTTCTAGAATACTAAGCGCTTATGAAAATAGCCGCTTTTTTAGTTTAGGCAAATTAATTGAAATCAGTCAAATTGAAAACGATATAGATGAGTTTTTTTATAATAAACTGAGGAGAGAGTAGAACTCACCTTTTCCAACATCACATTCAAATTTTTGGAACTAAAAAAAAAACATATTTTTGTGTTTGCTTTGTTTAAGCGAGCAAAAAACAAAAAAATCAATTATAGGCTTAAACAATCATTAGCATTTAGCATTCAAACTCTAATATCAATCCGGGCAAAAATATTAAATTCAAAATTATTGCAACAAATAGGTTTTGATACAAAAAAAATTATTTGATTTAGTTCCGATTTTTTCAATTTTGTTAAAAATCTTCTTTATTAGGCGGTCTGATATTTTACGAGAAACTATATATCGAAAAAGAATTGAAAATAACAATTGGTCAAATTTAAATTTTACAAAAATTACTTCGGACGAAAATATGACCGAATTAGGTGAGGTGAAAAACTGAAGTAAAACGAAATAAAATTAGCTAAAATAATGATCAATTGGCAGAAAAATTAATTGATGAGGTCAGACTTTCAGCAATTTTTGTGCAATTTAGCTTAAAAACGAAAATATTCAGATCAGTTTTTCTGAACAACGAAGCAATTTTGTGAAATATTTTTTGAAACTCAATCGAATTACGACTAGCAGAATTTGAATATGATAACAAACTTTACCACGCTTTTCTTGAGGTAGTCTAAATTGGCTGAAAAAAAATAAAAAACGACCCTAATCCAGAGTTCCTGTCTAATCTTTGAGACTGGTCGGAAAAACAAGGTTGCCTGGTTACTGTGTCCACGTAGGTTAATGCTTTTATCACACTGAATTGGGTAAAAATTCAAAAACTAATAGGAAAAAAACGCAAAGTTTTGTTGTCAAATTTTCAAAAAAAAAATGTATATTTTTCAGTTGAATATTTTGACTAAAGACATATTTTAAAAATCCCAGAGCTCCTTTTACTTTCATTTAGACGCAAATGCTATCATCACGCAGTCAAACCTGAAAGCAGAATTTTTTCGATTGATATAAATTTTCGGTGAGAAATTGTTTTATTTAAATGCTGAACTCACAATGAAGTTGAAAACTTTGTCAGGTGAAACTGAGAGCAGATCTTCATCCTGATTTTAACAATCAACTTATCACACACAAAAAAACTTAAATTGAGAGATAGGTGAGATCCACCAAATTGAAAATAAAAAATATTATATTCAGGCAAACCTTACGAAAACTTTTGAAAAGAAAAAAATTGGTCGACTTGTAGAGAGCAAAAGAGCGACGTTAGTTTGAAACAGATACATTTTGATTTTACTAGTCAGACTAGGCCAAAAAAAATTATAGTAATCGCAAATTCTTTGGTTTTTTTTTTAAAAAAAATCGAAAACTTGGGCTCAAACTGAATGAGTTGCTCATGAAAATGATGTCACAACGGATTCAATTTTATAGCTAAGCGAAGTAGAAGGAAGTACTACCCAAAAGACCCCTCTTTACATCTGCGAAGTTGGCAACAGATACATATTCAATTCTACTGCACTTAAATATGAGTTATTTTGTTTCCGAGCAATCCTAAACCCAAAACTTTGAATGAACTTCGAAAACTTTGATCCAGATTAAAATGTTGCCGAAAATTAAGAAATCAGCAACAAATTAATTCAATAAAAGTGCACTAAATTCTCACTTGTACCAGTCTTCATTTGGATCAAACTCAAAAAACGGGTCCCATTTGTACAAAATTTTTTATTCATCGTCGTTCTCATGGGTCAAAGTTTAAATAAGTAATTTTTTGATTCTGAGTCACAACTTTTGTAGTTCATTCATAACTTGAAAATCAAAGTAGCTCGAAAGAAAATGTCCCTATTTAAATCCATTTAAATGCGTCAGAAACGAACATATCTCTGTTGCCAACTTCCCTGATGTAATGACGGTTCTTGTTTTGTTTTATTTCCACGCAAAGTCAGGTATCACAAATAATCATTGGAATGGATCGCGTGTTTTATATCAACTTAAGACTTTTTCAGTCTTGTGTAATTAGAACGACATTTAAGAACGTGCAAAAGCTGTCCCAGTGTCGAGAAAAATTGTTTTGATTTTTTTAAATATCTAGTCTTGGATGCTTCATTTATGCTTCCTTGGCAACAAAAAGCTTTCAAAAAAACAAAAAATTATTCTGCTAAAAGATCTGGCACTTTTTTAGAAATATTTTTCGATTGTTTTCATTTTTTATTGTGTTATTCTGTTGGTACATAGTTGGGTTCCAGGAAAAAGCAAGTATGAAAGATGGGCCCTGCAATTTTTGTGGAAAATTCAAAACACAAGTGAACAAATGTGAACCATGTTCTGGAAGATGTGGATGCCCAAAATTTTTCTTCAGGGATCCATCTAAAATTAAGGGACCCAACTATCATACTTGTACCTAATTCTTTTTTTTGTCGATAAAGTTTGTCAATTTTGCCTAACTCACTACGCGTTCGTATAGTTCATTCATTACAAAACTCACAAAAACGACTCTAATTTTTAAAAAAATCCTTTTTATTATGTAGTTTTTTTTTCTGGTTGTGGTCGGAACATTCTGTTTCTCGCAGAGCAACCCTTACTATCCTTTTTGACTTGTGTTTGTGAAATATTTCAAGAAAACTGTTGGACTTGGTACTTACTTTTTAGGGACCCTTCTATCATGCTTGTACATTAGATTTTCAGGGACCAAACTACCATATTTGTACTAGACATCCATTGAGGGCTGAGGGGGGTGGTACAACCGAAGAGACGCCAAAAGAGTCATCATACTTACTTTTGGGATAAATGGGAGACACTTGCTTTATCAAATAAAAAATTGAGTAGGAAGCTGTAAATTGGGGAATAACTTGAACGTTACAGAAGCGAAAACGAACCAAATGAACTTACGGAAATTGCAAAATAAGATAGTAGAAAACAAATCAAAGCACAAATTGAACGGCGCCCTTTTGATCGAAATGAACTACTTTGAATGAAAATGTTACCTGTTTAAAGCTCCTTTTCTCAATTTGGTCTGCAATTTAAAATTATCAATAAAATCAGCAGTTTGAACTATGAATCATTAGCTGAGCTCTGAAAAAACAACCGAAAATATGACATTGATTTTTACTAAGTTGCTTTGTTTGTTTAAATTGACAACCGGTTTTTTTGTTCTTTTTTTTCGGTGCCGTATATTGAATTGGATGGAATTAGTAAGCAAAATGGATTGAGAGAAATTTGTAAGCGAATTCGATTGATTATTTAGTTCCAATTTTACATTTCAACACTGTTCAATTGAATGGCGGTGGTAATTTTTGATTTGAAATTTGAGATACGCTACTCAAAAGGGGAAATATTTCTTTTTTGCTGATGAATAAAAGTAAATGACCGACCAGGGATGTATTAGTTGTTCTTTTTATTCTACTACCATCAGAACTGAATCATCGAAGCTTACTATAGTCCGCGACTTGTGTTGTAGTAAAATTACTACACTTTTCTACTAAGCGACCAAAATAAAATGACACGAAGGGACTTGCATGAAAACAAATAGATGGTGACAAATACCTCAGCTGGAGACTGATGATGATGCAATGATGATGATATGATGTAATATATACCAGACAGACTGCTTTATATTTCTAGCGAGAGGCGTTCAATTTATAAGCAGAGTAACTGGATTTTTGATTCGTTTGACGAGGCACCGCAAGGCACGTCCAATGTCCAATTGTATTAGCTAGCTTATAGAATTGAGCCAACAATATGATGCATTGCTAAAAATGAAGCAAAATGTAAGAGGATGATTCATTTTCAATTTGTCACAAAATATATAAAACAGGCTTTTTCATCAGGCTTTGTTTTGTTCAAGCTAGCTAGCGTTGCATTTTGGATATTGTATTAGCAAATGGCTCCTTTATCACAACAAAAGATATGCTAGATCAAAAAACAGATTTTTGGACTTTTGCAATTGTTGTTTCATTCAATTCAATTCTATTCTACGGTATATTTGATATTCAATAATATATTAGCAGATAGAAAAGTCTTAAATGCTCCAACTAACTTGAATTGTATATCGCAGGAACGTGTTTTGACAGAAAACGTTCTGCAGAATTTGAATCGGAGAGCATTTTTAATATCTCAATCGAAATAAATGAGAGCCTGTTTTGCAAGTTTTCTCCTTGATCAATCATTAAAAATTAGTCAACTAATTTTGCAAACTTGGTAAAATTATCGCTCGCTCAAAAATGAAATAACAATGTTTAACTCAACGATCAAAAGAAAGCATTATATTTCAGCTGTTTTTGTTTTTTTTCCGGTATTTCAAATGCAAGATGTTTTGAGGTTTCGTAGATCTACTAACAGTGGCAGCTGGCTCAGCCACTGCCTTAACTGAGACTCCAGTCAAACAATGAAAAAGACACTTATTAACTTTGAAAGTTTCTTGGTGGTACTGCTATAATGGTAGGTTGTAGGTATAATACATTCGACCGCGTCAACAAATCGCTCCAAAATGCGCCTTATCGCCGCCGCAGTACGGTTTGAACACGATGAGTCATACGCAACTACTATTTTTCCATGTCATTAGAAATTTACGCTATAGAAGTAATAGTAAAAATAGTAGCGAAGGGAATACTAAGCAGTCCACTTTTATGGTCGAAGTCATTTCAAAACGACGTCAAAATACTCCAAGTACATTCCAATTCCAATCCAACTATAACAGGAAATTAACATAGTATTCCTTTTTTCTTCACTACATACGAAGTCAAGCCAACCAACTCTTATTTCCCACAAAAAGATATTACTCCAGTTCAATTTACTATAACCAACTAACTATATTTTAGATATCAATACATTTAACTCGGTGAAATTGTCTAATAACTCGAATTACTCATTTAGTATTGTACCAGCCGGATTTTTCGGTCTGTGTTTAGGTGACTAATTCAACGTTTTTAAAAAAACTAGAACGTTAGGCTTTGACACGTTTACCGCTTTCAAGCGTACCATTAATATTCGTGAAACAACAACCGAGTATTTAGTCATAAGTAAAACGACCCGAGCATAATAAAGTTGGAAACATTCATGTGACTAAAATTGAAGAAACCACGTGCCTGAACTAAAAAGAACGGAAATGAAGTAGAAACAAAATTTGAATCAAAAGAGTTCAAATCGCCTTCATTTTCCCTTCATTTTCCACAAATTATTTTAAAAACTAATGCGTTCTCTCCGTTTGATAATCACGTGTTTTACTATTTCGTTCAAACTGCAATTAGTCCAAATAAACATAGTTAAGGTCAGGTGGCTGAAGAGATTTATTGAAAGTAATTACCAACTGACATATATAACTCGGCGGTTTCAACCAGAAAACTTAGGATTTAGCCCGGAATAAGTTTTGGGAATGAAGGGAACTGATAATAAATGATTCAACTAAAAACAAAGCGAACAATTGTGGCATTTGATCTGACTCATAAAAATCGCCACTTAAAGACACGCAACGAGGAGAGTGAGACTGAGACGCGTTAAGTCAACAGAGCCCTAGCAAGGCCACAAAATACATAATTGAACAAACATTGTTTCAAAGCAGGTAGCGGACGCTATAGTCACGTGCTACATAGACCATTTACCGGCTAGGGGATTGGTTGGACGAAATGCAAATTAGGAGAACATTGAAAGAAACTTTTCTGAGCTGCACAGTTTAAATAAACAGTTTTAAAAATACAGTTTTTAATAAACCAAAATATTGAAGTTATTTGAGCAAAAGCAGCAATTTGAGAAAAATCGCCCCCAAAAGTGTTTTTTTTTGCCAAGAATTGATCGGCGAGTCAATGATCAAGTCTTCCAAAATCCGACTTTCGACCACTTGTTTCCAAACATTTGAGGTATGTATTTGTTACGTTTTGATAGAGTAGCGCGTGCCTGGCGATCCGTTTGGAATGACTCATTTGCTCATTCCCCTGAAGCTGCCAACCCTAAAACAGGTTAGCAAATCACAATAAATGAGAAAACATTGAATGTAAAATCAGAACGCGCTGTTAGTTTTGGGTTGAACTGAGGACCAAGATGGTGAAACCAAACGTGAAGAAGGGCGCAAAATTAAGATAAACAATTGTCGCATAAACTAATAAAGCTATGAAGTCTAACTTTGGAGGGAACTCTGAAACAATCCCCACCTTGAAGTTACAGTCAAGGAACGGAATTGAAACTCTTCGATTTCAACGTGCAAATTAACGATTTTTCATGGCATTTTTTCGTTTTCTCTTGAAATTTTGGTGCCAGAACAAAAGATACCCAACGAAAAGATCCCTTGCGCAAAAATCGCCCATACTATAAGATCCCATGCCAATTAAAACGATCCAGTGAATTATGAACAAAAGGCAAGATCAAAGTGTAATCAGAAAAAATCTAGAGTAATGATATCTCAATTAGGTTCGCGCTATTGATGAACAACGCAAATCTCAGATAATTAAATTTAAACTGGACTCATTTTTGGGATTAACTTAGAGCCAGCAATAAAGAATTTAGTGTTAATTTGGCATTGAAATAAAACAACTCAATTGAAAATGTATACGCTCTGCATTCATTATCTCACTCTTTAACACATTGAGTAGTCAAAAGTGATTTTTTTTTAGTTGGGCAACCTCACAAAAAGGTCAAACACTGATTATTCTTGACGGCCATGAATTTCAAAAGAACCGCGATACGAAGACAGCAACACACTGGCGCTGCAGCAAATGGAGATCATATAAGTGCCCGAAAATTTTAATCACTTCTGGGAGCGAAATAATCTCAAACAGCAACGAGCAATCTCACGAGATCAACGCAGGGTGCTCAGTAGCTCGGCTACTAGTTCAGCATATGAAGGAGACAGTTAAGAATCAACTAAATACAGTAAACAGTCAAATCATCGCTGCTGGTTTGCAATTGGCGCAGGACGACAGAGCAACCCAACTGTTTTTGCCCTTCCGGTCGGCAATAACGCGAACTTTAAACAGATGTAAGCAAACGTCATCCCGTCCCACTATTGCCACAGATGACCGTTATTTCGAAATACCGGATCGTTCTAAGCATTTTTGCCTTTGTGATAGCTGAAAACAAGATACGGAACGCATATTGATTTTTGGCGACATTAAGAACCTCAGTGCAGTTAAATTGTATAACAGAATCTGGCTTGTGGACGTTACTTTCAAAATTTACCCCAGTCAGTTTTACCAGCTCTACACACTAAACATCTGAATTGGTGGGTTTTATTCACCTTGCGTCTACGCTCAGCTCAACAATAAGAGCTTATCAAACTATAACAAGTTCCTAACCGCACTTAAATTGCTTGTCAGTGACGTAAAACCGGAGAGAAATTTGATCGTTTTTGAAGTTGCGGCGGTGAATGCTTTTGCGTCTGATTACGAAACTGACATTAAGGGATGCTATTTTCCCCTCTGTCAGAGTTTTATGCGGAAATTATCCGATTTGGGCCTTGAAAAGAATTACGAATCAAACAGCGAGCTAAACTTTGCGCTTAATGTGATTCCTGCTCTTAGTTTTTTGCCGGAGTCAAAAGTGAAAATTTGATTCCTCCTAGTAAAAGAAGAAATAGGCAGTGTGGCGAGCAAAACAGATATTTCACAAAACGATCTGGAAAAACTAGACTAGCTCACGGCTTTTTTCCAAAAAACGTGTAAAAAGGGAGATTTGATTGGCCGAATACACTCTCTCCCATTTTTTTTGGAACCAATATCAAAATGCGGTGAAGGTTTTGCCCGAACCACAATTGCAGTTGAAGGAAGACATCTAGGTGTAACCGCTTTGTTTCAAGGCAGCCATCCTTCAATATATACAGTTCTTGAAAAAATTCAATTGGGTTCCCACAATCAAAAATTCAAAATTTTGAACGCATCCAGCTGTACTATCAGTTCATCCAAGAAAAAGTACCGTAATAAGAAGAAAAAAGTTCAAGAGATAACTAGTTCATTCAGAGACTCTAACATCATGTCTTATATCCGCTCACTTGCCAATTAACCAATTAAAGTTTGTGTAAAAATTTGTCTAACTTCTCCTAAATTTAGTTTTGTTTAATCATTTTTTGACGCCTGCTTGCACCCTCCCGTAGAACGCCGAAAGGCAATACTACGACTCGCATTGAAAATTGCTGTCTCTAACAATTTCATCCCAGAGCAATTGCCAATGTTTACGGGACGCTAGTTTAGCGGTAGGGACCTGACGGCCCTTTAAGTATTGCGTCTTGCGAAAAAAAAGTTGACCAAAATTGAGAGTTTATATTTTTTATCACATAATATGGCAAGTAATTTGAATAAAAACGATTTCAAAGCGGTAGAATTTGCAGAAACTTAATTTAAATTTTGTACCGACTTGAATTGTCAAAATACAGGCCATATTCAGGCAAAAATGGTTTTGATTAATTGCAAACTCCTTTCAACTTCAATTGTAGTCTAAGCTTCTTTAATGTTCGAGTTTCAATTTGAAGGCGGAGTGGTTGGCAAGTTCATTCATGTTCAAAATTAGTGCAGCAAAATTTTTGCCGTTTCTTTGGTTTTAACCGATGCTTTGTTTTTGCTTTGATCAATTAACCGCTTTATTTTCAATTCTCAGGTTCTTTGTTGTTTTTTTTGTAGTATCTTATAACGTGGGCAATTTTAGACCGAGGGATCTTTCGGAATGACATGCATTTGAGTGGGACTTTCTCTTTTAGGATTTTGGATCTTAAATTAAGGGACCATGTAAACGAAATTTTGACACGTACTAGATGAAATTACTCGGAAGGAGCGGGCTGGATCAAAAATTGATAAGTCTTGTTTTGAATATGTACAATAGCCAGTATATCAAAACTAGCTGCTCCTTTTCATTTTCTCAACTCCCTGGTAAGATTAAAAATAAAAAAAATGTTCAAACATTGTTCATATGGCAACTTGAATGAATAAAACATTGTTAAACTTATTCACTTTTTCAGGCTGAGACGTTTTATTACAGTTTTGATCATCAATGTTCGTTTTAAATGCGCATTCGTTTTTTGATTTTTAAAAGAGATCTGGAAAAGAGCTCAACAAGTTTCAAATGCACTATTGCGGTGGAAACATCCTCGCAAACAACACAAAAATAGGCAGGAAAATCAAATCAATTAAAATTAGAAATATAATATAAATCGCAATGAATTTCGATAACAATATCTCCATCAGGTTTTTCTGTCACTGAAAACAAAAACGTTATAAAATAACGCAAGCACCAAAAAGTTTAAACAAAACACTGTAATATGATGGTGTCAACAAGGTGTCAACCCAAAAATGTATAGACTTTATGAGCTCATATTGGTTCTTTGCGCTGCTGTTGAACTTAATTATATATTTTATAAAATAAGGGTCGTGGTGTGATGAAAGGGACCTGAACGATAAACTGTAAGTTAGGAATATTTGACATTCATAGTGAAATTAGACAACAATTTGGAAAAAAAATTGACTCAGAAGACAAAGAGTATTTAAATTTTTTTGTGCTAAAATTATTGCTTTTTTTAAAGGTTTTTATTTTTTTGAAAATTTGAAGAAAAATGACTTAAGTAAAAAAAATGTCTATGTTTGCTCAAATTTTTTAATTTTTTTTTTGGATATTTGTAAATCACAAATGGCGCTTAAAAACTCATGAAACATTTTTTTTGAGTAAAACTAAACTTTCACGGCCTACATTAATTATATTCAAACTATTGTAAGCGTGATCGCTGGCATTATTTGCTCGAATTTAGACTAAAAATCAAACTTGTTTTTCTCAATACTGGGGAAATTGTTTAGAAAATTTCTATCGTCGTTCGAATCAGGGCTGAAAAGGTTTTAATATGATAAATGAATCCTCCCATTACGATGATTGTTTGCGGTAATGTTTTTGGATTAACAACAAAATATGCCTGCTCGCTCATCTCATTCGCTCAAAATTAAATAAAGTTCAAAAAACTAAAGTAGTTGTTTTCGTATTACCATTACGATGCCAAACTGTGCACTGGAGAGGCGCACAATTTTGTGTCTATATGTTCATGGATTCCAGAGACAAGTCTTTAAACATGTTAAAATTTTGTCGAAACAATCAAAAAAAGTAAAGAACAAAAGAAGAACAAAGGGAGCGTCCTTGTTGCGGAATCCGCTTATAATGCACAAAATGCACAGTTTGGCCTCGTAATGACTGGGAAAGTTTTTTCAACATTTTCAAACCTCGTTTGAATCACGACTGAAAGGGCTTGAATATGATATCTCACTATACCCCTTCCCATTTTTGTTTGT